CCCCAAAACCCCAAAACCCCAAAACCCCAAAACCCCAAAACCCCATTAAAGGAACTAGCGTTGATAATTTAAGATATAGAATATAATTAAAATGGAAATTCTAATGCTCAATTACTCTTTTGTATGCAAGCTAACTACTTTTTTCTCTGTGTTAATGTTCAAGATAATACTGTGCCAAGATAATTTTGAAAATATCCCAACTCCTGATTACATCAAAGTGGTTGAAGTTCCTGATCAAATTGATGAACCTTATCAACTTGACGATAGCATGAAGCTCAACCCCAATGACTTCGATGTTGTCATGTTTGAGACACACACCAAGAGAGTCCTCCAGGCTTCCAACACCACCTCCACTGCTGCTGGTAACGGAACTGTCAATATCGAGCCTTTCAAAATGTACACAGTGACTGTGACTTCAAGAGCTTCGAACAGCGCTCTCAGAAACAACGGAGAAGACAAGTTCTATGTCCGGATCCAGAATGAGTGCACTTACTCCAACCAGACGACATGTACGGAAGTGGGTGGGGCGGCCAACACAGTGCCGACTCCATACGAAGGACTGATGACATACAACGGAGACTCCACTTACTCGTACAACTACACGCTCAGTGTGACCGGAAAGATATCCGTGACAGTATTTCTCAGGAACACTGGCAGAGTCATGGTTGAGTGGCACAGAAATCATGTTCTATCAAGTTTTCACTCAAACGCAGAATCTACCCAAATTAATTTTTATTGGAGTAGTGGTGGATATCCTTGTTGAGGAAGACGTGATTACATCAGTGCTAAGTTTAGATCATATCTCCGTCCAAATATATCAGGGACTTACACTATTTATACCAACTCAGATAGAGGAGCGAGACTTTATGTTGAAGGAACAACAAAGATAAATTATTGGAACAGTGGAACAAATGGCCTCAGAGGTTTCTCAATGGCTTTGACTAAAGATACCAACTATTATATTGAAGCCTGGTACCAAGAGTATACAGGATCAACATATTTTTATTTAGAGTGGATTGTTCCAGGTGCTTCTCGAATTGTTGTGCCAACTGTAAATTTTGTTTGGCCCGAATTTGTTACAACTGCTCCCTTCACAATTGATATTGCCTGTCCATCTGGATATACCCACACTAATACAGACCACCCAGACGAATGCTACCCTGTGTGTGGTGACAGCATGAGGGTCGGAGCTGAAGTCTGCGATGATGGAAACACTCGCTCAAATGATGGATGTGCAGAAGATTGCCTCTCGGTCGAGACCAACTGCACTTGAACAGGCGGTAGCGCCTCACAAGCCGACTACTGCTCTTGCCTGACCAGCTTCGTGAACGAAACAGTGGTTGAAGAATATTGTAAGTTATGTCTGACCTGTAGCCACTGCTTCCAAAGTGATGGTCTTTGCAGTCTTCGGAGTATTCAGTAAGCCTGTGTGACGAGTATAGCCTCGGTGTCAGTAGCCGCCATCGTAGTTACCGTTATTGTGGAGTTGAGACAGCCGATCCAGTACTCACAGATCCAGCAGAGAAGCATTCGAGTCACACAGAAAGTCAAGGTAAGGATTTGGGTGACTGTAGGCGGACGCTCAGAAGAAGATCGAAGCAGACAGAAGGAAGAGAAGTACCAGATACGAAGCTTAAGGAGACATTATCCAATGTTATAAGTTTCAAGGATAATATAATATCACGGGGTTTTGGGGTTTTGGGGTTTTGGGGTTTTGGGG